TTGATGGTATGGACCGGAGGTACCTGGAATGAAAGACCAATATTTTCTTCGTGGACCCCGGACTGAAGGTGACATCGAGCAACTCGAGAAGAATATCCTCCCCACATGTCGTCGCCCGTACCTTCTTGGAAACTTTGTACTGCTACAGCATTGGGTGCCACCACATGGAATCGAAGGGCGAGAAACTCTCGCCTACTTGGAATGGAAGGGGGCTGAGTACCTAAAGAAGATGGAATATCCAAGTAGGTCACCTGACCTGAATCCCCTCAATTACCCGGTTCGGGCGGAGTTCAATAGGGTGGTCTACGGTGGCGGAGAAATCGACTATCTCGCTGATCTCAGGCACCACATCGCGGTCGCGTGCCAGAATCTCTCGATGGCGCTCGTCCAGAAGGCTGTGGCGGAGTTTTATAATAGTATTTAATATGCTCTTAATATGGTGGTAGAAATGTCCGATTAGAATTTATAAAGTGTAACTTATAGCGCCACGAAAGTCAATGAAGAAAAGTGACTTTTTTTTAGCCCCCCCTCCCCTGTACATCCAAAAACACACCAACAGACAAACTTAGCAAAGACTAGATCGATCCTTGAAAACTTTATTGCGGTTCAGTGCAGTTAACGCAAAGAATCACAGAAGCCACATGATCTTGGACACACTTTCTTCTTGGTAGCCTCCGATAGTGTACCCTTGCAGAAACCACTCGGTACAAGAGAGAGGCAACTGAAACATCTTCTGGTAATTTTTGACGGGGAACCAGCGATACGGGAACGTCTTACGAATGGTTGTCCTCGCATTTAGAGTCGGTTTGTATGTTTATGAACGGAACAGGTCGCCTTGTTGTTGTCGTAGTTGTAGTAGTAGTGGTGGTAGAAGTCGTAGGTCTTGGTGAATTTGCAGGAACTAGATGCTTTAGGTTGATCTTAGCGATTTCAAGACAAGAAATAATAAAGCAGTACCGTGTCGGTATTCAAGCACTGTCGTCGTTTTGACAATCCTGTTATATGTCATTATTGGGACACGGTTTATGTAAGAACGAAGAATTGTTCCAGCCGCGTCAGGTGAGCAGAATCTGCAATTCACTGCGCCTTTCAGGGCTTCCGCATGACATGGTTTTGTGAATTTGATTCTTGTTCTGTGAAAGACTGCCAAACAGTCATTCCGATCGAATTCTTCCTCTTCATTCGAGTCGACCTTCTCACTCTCTTAATTTATACTAACAACATACCTGTAACCAGTGAGCGTTTGGTCCTCATTGGTCTTGATCTCTACACCTGCGTAACTGCATCCGTCAACAGAAAGACCTTTTGTGAAATTCACAAGTCTCACTTCGATTTCGGTTCCGTTAGGAGAGACTGCAAAATACCGAGCCAGTAATAATTAGTGGCCGCCAGAGAGTGCCACTTTTACCCTCTTAGCTCGTTTTCTCGCGTTACAACGGAAATCGGCTACAATCCTCGTTTGTAACATGACCTTTGCCAACAACTCAGCATTCTTGTTACAGTTTTCCAGCTTCTCTCTTCTTGCAACCTCGGCATTTTAGGTGTATGTCTCAAGTCTGGTTGGCTTCGCATTAATTGGTCCTTCTCGAGGGTTCATGACACGATGTCAAACCGCTAGAGTTGAACTAGCGCCTTGGTGAGGAGAGCAAATCCATCCTTGAAAACAAATTCAGCCTTAACGACCGATTCAGTTGAAACCTTCAGGCCATATCTGAATAAACGACATCCGATCGCATATGACGAATCGCCGCCGAAGCCGGGCCGATCTTCTTAAGCATCGACTGTGTGAAGCGGTCGCCCGCCATCCAAACTGAGGCCAATCGATCGCCAACTTCGGCGAGCGATCCTCCTTAATGCGTGTGAATGTCCCGATCAAATCCAACTGAGGCCCAGTCGAACGCCATTCTCTAAGAAAAATTTTTTTACAAATTCCAGAAACATTACCGGTTCACAATTTGGTACATACCCCCCCCCCACCCCCCCCCCCCCTAGTGGACGGTGGGAAGTTTCGTAAGGCGAGGGGTGGAATGGCCGTAGTGAATTAAACTGAAGTGGGAACTGAACTGGAGATATTGTATTGAGTTGTTGTAGAAGAAAAGAGGTAAAAAACAAATAAAAATAAATGCAAAAAATGTAAGTAATTATGAAAATTTTCGATTGTACCTCAATATTCCGTTCTCACATTGCCTTGCGACTATATTATGAACTTATGCAGCAGGCGCCGCCGACTCGGCGCACATCTCATCCGCTGGTTTGTCTCTTCACTTATGTTACCCGTCCTCGCCTCCCCCTCCCATAAATAATCAGGCCCACCGAATTTCTGTAACAAAATCCGAGTCGCATCACAAGAGCGGGTTCATCCAAACCTGCGCGAAAATCGATCGAATCAAACCTCCGACACACCTACTTACTCCCACCGTTTCCCGCTGCACGGGTAATTCCGGGTTTCGAACTTCAAAATTTTTACTTGGTCCCCGCCTACCCAGACAAAGCCTGCCGACTGCAATCTGCTGGGCTCTTTCCAACGCCCAGTTCGGGTGTGCCTCCTTCTGTTTATCTACCTGCCCACTTTTTACTACCGAGTCCGTTTCCCGCTGCATCCGAATTAGTTCCGGTCTCATTTGAAGACTGCGTTTAGCCCCGCCCCCGAACAAACGCCCCGCTCAACTTCGGTATGCCGCCCACTCCCATTGGGGTGAGTCCTAACGTGTGCAAAGAGAAATATTCGTCTCCGCGCTCCCTTGATCTTCCGCAGCATTTAGAATTTAGTTCGTTGCACCTAACTAATCGTGCCCACCACCCTGTCTACTATTTGTGTTATTCCGGTACAGCAGTTCGGCATCGGCCGCGGCTCGCCGGCCGATCCTCCTTCCGGTGTGAAGTGGTTCCCGTGGAGACATTTTCTCATGTGAGGAAGGGTCCATCGACGAATGGTTTGAAAGAAATATTATTTTGAGAATTACCGCACTTTACCGTTTCACTTCTAGTATATACCCCCCCTAGTAGACAGCCATCAAAATTTTCTATGCGGCACTGCAAACTATTGCCGACGGTACCAACCATTTGGGATACTCCCTACGATTATCCCCTCACTATGTTCATCTGCCATACCACTGTTTAGTTTCAGCTCACTCCCCATTTCGGGGTTTTTGGATGAGTTCGAGGGTTTTCGTCCTCGGCATCGTCCACTTCGGCGAACGCTCCGCCCATCACGGTGTGCTTCATTAATTCCGTCCGCCAACTGATTGCCTATCGTTTGCCACTTCTCCCACTCTCCGAGCTTTTTTGGAACCCAACTACGAATTTTTGAAAGTTTCGTAGCAGGCACCGCTCACCTACAGAACGCCCTGCACAGAATGGGTTTGTTTCAGTCATTTCGTCCGCGAACTGATTGCCTATCGTTTGCCACTTTTTCCGCTCTCGGGCTCTTTTGGAACCGAACTGAGGGAACTTTTTGAAATCTCGAAAGCAAGCACCGGCCATCTGTAAACCCTCGCGCCGAAATGGGTTTTGTTTCAGTCATTTCCCGCGACTAATTCCTATCGTATTAGCACTTTTTCCGCTCTCGGGGCTCTTTTGGAACCGAACTGGGAATTTTTGAAAATCTCGAAGCAAGCACCGCCCATCTGTAGAACGCCCCGCCCGAAATGGGTTTGTTTCAGTCATTTCGTCCACGAACTAATTGCCTATCGTTTGCCACTTTTCTCCGCTCTCACTCCGCTCTCGGGGCTTTTTTGGAACCGAACTACGAATTTTTGAAATATGAACCTCACAACTATGCGCACGCCCCGCCCACAGTGGGCGGGGCTTAGCCTGGTTCACGTGTGTTTCGTACATCTTGGCCCATGCCCTACCCATCCCAACCTTGACCCGCCCCCTGAGACTGGCTCTTCAGGTAGTTCCGAATTTCCGGACCCAGAACAGACAAAAACCAGACAGACGATCAGACAGACATACAGACAAGAACAGACAGACAGACCAGACATCGCCGTTTAATATAGAGAATAGAGATCCAAGCAAGTACCCTCCAAATGTAAACAACTGAAACTACGTATACTTCAATGTTTTCTTCAGTATTGAATGATTTGAGAGGACAAAATAGGAATATCATTTGCCTAAATTGTTGTGCAGTAAACAGTAGGTAATTAAACAAATAAATAAAATACTGATTTACAAACCCTTGATTTTCACTCCCATTCACTGTGGCACATATCCCGTTCACTGCCGATCACTTGTGTGTTTCGGGAACCATATGAAGTATTGCCGATCGGTAATCCAGCCATTTGGATACTCCCTAACGATATAAACCTCACTATGTCATCTGCCACAACCACGTTTATTTCAGCTCACCCCCAATTTCGTGGTTTTTTATATTTCGAGGTGTTTCGTCCTCGGCATCGTCCACTTCGCGAACGCTTCCCGCATCACCGGTGCTTCATTAATCCGTCCGCAACCTGATTAAGCCTATATCGTTCTTGCCACTTCTCCCACTCTCCGAGCTTTTTTGGAACCCAACTACGAATTTTTGAAAGTTTCGTAGCAGGCACCGCTTACCTACAGAACGCCCTGCACAGAATGGGTTTGTTTCAGTCATTTCGTCCGCGAACTGATTGCCTATCGTTTGCCACTTTTTTTCCGCTCTCGGGGCTCTTTTGGAACCGAACTGGGAATTTTTGAAAATCTCGAAGCAAGCACCGCCCATCTGTAGAACGCCCCGCCCAAAATGGGTTTGTTTCAGTCATTTCGTCCGCGAACTGATTGCCTATCGTTTGCCACTTTTTCCGCTCTCGGGGCTCTTTTGGAACCGAACTGGGAATTTTTGAAAATCTCGAAGCAAGCACCGCCCATCTGTAGAACGCCCCGCCCGAAATGGGTTTGTTTCAGTCATTTCACGTACACGAACTAATTGCCTATCGTTTGCCACTTTTCTCCGCTCTCGGGGCTTTTTTGGAACCGAACTACGAATTTTTGAAATATGAAGCTCACAACTATGCGCACGCGCCGCCCACAGTGGGCGGGGCTTAGCCTAGTTCACGTGTGTTTCGTACATCTTGGCCCATGCCCTACCCATCCCAACCTTGACCCCCTGAGACTGGCTCTCAGATAGTTCCGAAATTTCTCGACAGACAGACAAAACAACAGACAGACAGACAGCACAGAGCAGACAGACAGACAGACAGACAGACGTCGCCGTTTATATATAGTAGGATAGAGATCAGCAAGTACCCTCCCAATGGTAAACAACTGTGAAACTACTGTATAGTCAATATTTTCTGTCGGTATTGAATGATTTGAGGATGACCACCACACCACACCGAATATGCATTTGCCTAAATTGTTGTGCAGTAAACAGTAGGTAATTAAACAAATAAATAAAATACTGATTTACGAACCCTTGATTTTCACTCCCATTCACTGGGCACATGTGTTCCGTTCACTGCATCCATCATTGTGTGTTTGAACCAATTAAAACGTATTGCCGACGGTACCAACCATTTGGATACTCCCTACGATTATCCCCTCACTATGTTCATCTGCCATACCACTGTTTAGTTTCAGCTCACTCCCCATTTCGTGGGGTTTTTGGATGAGTTTCGAGGGTTTTCGTCCTCGCATCGTCCACTTCGGCGAACGCTCCGCCCATCACGGGTGTGCTTCATTAATTCCGTCCGCCAACTGATTGCCTATCGTTTGCCACTTCTCCCACTCTCCGAGCTTTTTTGGAACCCAACTACGAATTTTTGAAAGTTTCGTAGCAGGCACCGCTCACCTACAGAACGCCCTGCACAGAATGGGTTTGTTTCAGTCATTTCGTCCGCGAACTGATTGCCTATCGTTTGCCCACTTTTTCCGCTCTCTGGGCTCTTTTGAAACCGAACTGGGAATTTTTGAAAATCTC